TTTATTAAATGGATGAGGCAAGGGAAATTCAAATAGACGTGCTGCATCAGATGCCATTCAAGGATGAAATAAACTCTAGGAAATGAGGATTCTGTACAGACACCTCTTGTGGTTTTAATTGCCATTTTCCCCCTCAGTGCTCTATGTTGTTCATTCTATATTTCCTCCTCTGAAATGTGGACATACAAGCACATTGCGTGGAGAGACAGCATAAACGTTTTCACAGAAAAATATAGCCTACTGCACTGTGAATGTATGAAGTGACCATAGTGGAGACAGAACCATTCAGACATGCATAAATGTAAAAGTTACAGTGCTGAATAGTTGAGTCAGGAGTTTATAAAGAAAAAGCCCTGGTGGCAGAATTGTGGGCCAGTAGATAGGATGAAGAACAATCCTAAATCTCACCAAATTACGTGGGGGACACTGATAAAGGCACCTTTTTGTTACAGAGACCCACATGCGCAAACTTACTTGGTATGGTGGTGAGTGGTGACCAATGCTCCCTCTAAGCTGTGGAGTCTTGTGAGCAAAAATTCTACTTTGTGAGCTACTGGCATTAAAGTTAGATCCAGGTAGTCAGCTGTGTTGGTCTGAAGCAGTAGAACAAATTTAGAATCCAGTGGCACCTTTAAGACCAACAAAAGTTTATTCAAGGTATGAGCTTTCATGTGCTCATACCTTGAATAAACTTTTGTTGGTCTTAAAGGTGCCACTGGACTCTAAATTGGCATTAAAGCTGTGAGCGAGCGATTAAGTTACTGCATAAAGTAGTTTGCTCTGAAGCCATCTTTCCTGAGCTAAGACAAAAATGTGTGAGCCAAAGGCTAAAAAACTGTCACACTAACTCAGCTTAGAGGAGACACTGGTGGTGACCCCCCCCCTTACAAAAAAACAGAGCATGCACAAATCAGTAAAACTGCAAAAGCCTGAGACGCAGTTTCATAGACTTTGCAACCAACTTTTGGGTAAAGACGTACAGGTTGGGAAACGCTAGATAAAAGGATATATTAACATTAATTACAAGCTTTCACATGAAATTAGCTAGAAGCAGACCATGGAGTACTTTCTATCATAACAGTTCTTTGAAGTAGTCCATTCAAGGAATGACCAGTGAGTGTCATGGCTGGGGGGCGGTGTTATCCTGGTCCAACTGAAACCTTCTACCCACTGCCATTAATACTACAATCCTAAGAATACTTTCCAAGGAGTAAGACCCATTAAACAAAATGGGGCTTACTTCTGAGTAGACTGGTTTAGGAATGCTCACTAAGAGACTGACAGTGCAATCCTGTACAGAGTTACCCCAGCCTAAACCTATTGATTCAACAGGTTTAGCCTGGATTTTCTCCACACAGGATTGTACTCCAGAATTCATCTGTTAATTTTGTGATTACATGGTGAAAAGCATGAGCGAAGGGAACCCTGTAAACCCAGTTAGGGAATCCAAGGACCACCTTAAGTTTTGACAACAAACACTGTATTCCTGATAAAAAGTCAACAATACAAGTCAAAGGGCTTCCGGTGGATGGCAGCATGCTGAGCAGTCGCATCTCCCGGACCTCCCGGGGATGCGAGCTGCGCACGAGCAGGAAGGAGGGGGTACGCAGGCTCGTTGCCCCCCATGAGGCCCGGTGAAGGGCTTCTAGCCATGGAGCTTTTGAGAGGTTGCCTCTTTGCCAGCACAATGCTGGGGAATTGAGGCGCCTGTCCGCCCCAATGGTCCCTCCT